TTTTTTTTGAGACAGGGCCTCACTATGTTGTTGAAACTGACCTGGAACTAACTACATAGTCCAGGCTGGCCGTGAACTTTTGATCCTCCTGCCTCAGCTTCCCGAGTGCTGGGATTACAGGAGAGTGCCACCACGCCCGGTTGAGACAGTAATTTTTTGACTGTTTAGATGCATTGCTAACTTTCAGGAGATAAAAGTGTTCCCTGGTCCTGTGGAAAGGATTTATAACAACCGAATTATTTTGAGAGGCTCTGCTTTGAAGCAGATAGGGATTTCTGGAACACAAATGCCTTCTCAAAATAATTTTTATAGTTACACATGGTAGTACACACCTGTAATCCTCACACTTGGGAGGTTGAGTCAGGAGGGTCAAAAGTTCATGGCCAGCCTGGACTATGTAGTGGGACCCTGTCTCAAAAAAAATCCAATCATAAATTTTGTTTTGTTTTTGGTATCAGGGTTCGAACTTGGGACCTTGTGCATGTGAGGCAGGCAGCACCACTGAGCTAAAGCCCCAGCTACAATTACAAGTTTTGTGCCTCAGAGGCATATTTTGGATCCCTTCAATATGGATTTAGTAACTGGAATACTCAGTTCTAATTACATGTCTTAAATTTGCTGTTCCATTTATATTCCGTTGACTGTTGAGCATGCATAAAAGCACCATCTAGTGATTTATACTAGCCTGTTTAGGAACTTAATTACAGTATTTTAAGTTTCAAGTCAGGTATAAAAGCATAGTGAGGAAAATGTACATCCTTTAATTCATTTCCTTAGGCTTGGGGTATCTCATAAGCATAATTCGTTCATTCTTTTGAGAAAGGGTCTCATTATGTAGTTCAGGCAGGTTTTGAACTGTGTAGCCCAGGCTGGCCTCGAACTCATGGTGATCTTTTCTGCCTCAGTCTGCTGAGTTCTAGGATTACAGGTGTGCACATGCACACCCCATTATAAGCATAATTCTTATTACATCATCCCTGTATCTAAAATCTTTTAGTGACTGAATTATTACCTCCAGGCTAGTCTAATTCCCCACTGCAAAACACATGTTCAGCTCTAGTACGCCACATACCCTGTAGACTGCCTGTCCTCCATGGATTCCAGCTCACTAAGTTCTACAGAGGCTGTTCTGCAAATCGTGCCTGATTCCATCTTTATCTCCGGGTCCAGAAGATGTTCTTTTATTATATGATGCTGCAGACACCATTGGGACTGTACTTAACCGCTCTTAGACATAATGGTTTAATATTATGCATTTTTAAGCTTCTTGAGGGCTCATACTGCTTGTCTTGTTTCACTCTGTGCTCAGCACAATTTTTGAGTAAATGGATGAAACATTTTTCTATAGATTATGCAATTAAAAGTGACCTCCTGGGCTGGGGATTTAGCTCAGTGGTTCTGGCACCTGCCCCGAGATTGATCCCTGGTACCAAAAAGAAAAAAATAATGCTCTCTAGGAAAAATATGGGTTCACTATGTAATAAAATTAAGGGCAGAAACTCACGATAAAGTAATAGACCAGGTTCTCTAGCACTGTTATCAGGCCCTGAAGAGAATGCAAGACAGAATAGGCCTCATACAAATTCTATAATCGAATCTGATGAAATAGTGTCCCTAAGTCCCAGGTGTGGGGAGAACAGACCAGATAACTAAGATGCCTTCCTGCTCTAATCCACCTAATCTTAAAATTTTACTTAGAACAAATAACAACAGCCTTTATACCAGAAAAATACTAGAAGCTTCATATTACAGAATTTGGGTAGGCAAGATATGACAGGCAGAAATCTACAGGATAGGTCTTGTGAAATTTTTGATAACTGGCTTTTAACAGCAAAAGCACAGAGAACTTTTGTTCATTTTGTTCTTTGAGACAGGGTCTCACTATGTAGTTGAGACTGACCTGGAACTATGTAGCCCAGGCTGGTCTCGAACTCAGAGATCCTCATGCATCAGCCTCCTGAGTGCTGGGATTACAGGCGTGTGCCACCATGCCTGGCAAGCACAGAGAACTTTTATTTCCTACTGCTTAGGTTATCGTCTTTCACTTCTCCCATTCACTTCTGTATTCATGCTGCCAATGTTACCATGTTGTAGTGGGAAGCATATCTGTTTTGAAGCCATAAAGATTAGTATCTGACTCCACCCTTTAATATATAACATTGGGGTAAGTTACCCAGCTGAACCCTATGTGCTGGTGACAACTAAAAGTGGTTATCAGGAATTTAACTACGTATGAGGGACCTAGAGACTGGGCCTGCAGACATCTAATGAGCTGAGGATGAAGCTTGGATTGCCTTGAAACTGGAATGATCTCTGCACATAGGCATGTTAATCACTTAGTGTCTGTAATGTAAGGTTTATTAGCCCTTGGTTCACTTGGCCTCTCGTCTTTGTTCAAAATTGAGAACCCCAAGAGTAACTAGATTTTCAAGGCTTGCAGAGACAGCCAATTGCCAGTGTTTTACCAACTCCATTCCAGACCTCCTGGGGCAAGGCCTGGATATCTCCCATCATTTCCCTTAACCTGCAGCCACCTCAGAGTCTGGGAAAAGCAAAGCCTCTCTCAGACAACCCCACAATGAGATCACCACCCAAGTGGGAGCAATTGCCAGTTATGGGAACTAAGGGCGGCAGCCCCCACTGCCACCAGTAGGAGCCTCATCTCAAAATGGGAACCCAAAAGCTTTTTTATGTGATGATGGCTCTCTTCTACTACTCTGCAGAACCAGTCCTGAGATAGTTTGAAGAGGATTACTATGCTGCCAACTATGCAAACTCAACAGATATGCAAACCCCTGCTCTTGCCTTTGTTTCCCTTTCCTATAAAACCCTAAAGCTACCTTCAGTCCTTTGTAGACAGATCTTGAACCTCTTTATCTGTGTTTCCCATCATGGGCCATACTGATGAAAGCTCTTTTCCTGCCCTTCACCACTGCTCCTCTTCTTTATTGGTATTATGGGATGGGCAGCCAAACCTGAAAGGTTGAGAACCCTAGAGCTGCAGCTTTTGCCCTAAAGCTCCAGTAACAAGCACAATAAAAGCAGTAACATCACACTTGTTTCAGGTGCATATTAAATGTATAGTTTATCCCTCATCATTCCTAGTTTCCAAATCTGGTAAGACATTCTTGTTTAATGTTTCCTATCACACTAGTCACTAAATTTCGTAAAGATTTCTTTGTAAATTCTCTCCATGCCACGTTTTCTACCATAATGTGGACACAACAGTCCCCCACTAGAACTAATGTTGAGATCGTAAATTGGTTTTCCTTTCCCAATCAAAAATTGGTGATTTTGTTTGCTTTAGTCTATTCCACACACTTTCAAAATTAATGATTTCTCATCTCAAAAATGTAATGACTGTAAGTCAGAACAAGACCTGCTTTATTTCTGGGATTTAAAATTTTCCACTGTGCTTTTTCCATAGTTAAGGCTTTTCTATGCTGAAGATTTATCTACCACTTGTTTGCTTTCAAATTTGAAGTATCAGAATATTATATATTTAAAGTATTTAACATATACTGATATCACAAGGCCTGATCAGAAATTTTTTTTTTTTTTTTTTTTTTTTTTTTTTTTTTTTT